GATTTTAACAGAAAAATAAAAATTCAATTAGATTTGTTTAAGATTACACCTAGTAAAAATAAGGAATTAAGAGTTTTCTGTTGAAATTAATAGAAGAGATATTATGTTATTTAATGTCTTATATATAACTATATGATAATTCTAATAATGTTACATTATTAAAATTAAATTTTAAAGAATTTTATTGCAGGTGTTATTCGTACATTCCGCAGATCTGTTCGTTGAATGTCAGACACCGTTTAAGTTGTTTTAGCTGAAAAATAAACTTATTATTATACAATTAGTAAAATTTAAGACAAATATGCCCACCCATGTGCCGCTCAATACTATTACATAAAAAACAATTTTTTTTATATAATTAAATAAATAAACAAATAAAAATGGAAAAACTTTTACACTTTTAGACACTTTTAGATATTCCCGGGAGTAATTTAAAATTTGTAAAATTTAGCGAGTTGGAAATCAGAAAAAAATACGACACATCTTCTTTCGGATTTATCAAAACTAAATATGGTGAAAAATTAACTGTTGTTTTAGATAATGAATTTAAACTAGTTCTACCCGATAGACTTTCTAAATTAACAAAAAAAGATGTTCAAGATCTTAATTTGGATAATAATTACTTTTTTATTTATAACGGGATGGAAATATTGACGAATGGTCATAAAAAACATTTGATTACATTTGAAAAATTATTGTAATTTAATTTAATAATGTTAACTTAATTTTAACGATCAAAAAATTATTTCTAGAACAATCCTATAATTTCTTTTTTCTTTTTTCTTCTAAGTGTTATTATTTGCAATATTAATTTCAAGAGAGGTTTTTCTTAAAAATATAATCCTATAATTGATACATTCAATACATAATATTTTCGAATATCCACATTCTGCAAGTAAAATATTCTTAATAACGTTTACTCCTTAACATATACAGATACTCGTTATTATAGAGTAGATATATTGAGTAACACTCCAGCACGCCTTTATCTTTTCCGTTTTATAGGAAAGTGGCAATAATTCGAAATCGTTATTAGTTGTATTATATACCAGCACGTCTTATATTTTCGTTTATAGAATAAAGACAATAATTCAGGTTAATTGCACTAACAAAATGTAGACATTCAAAAAACAATTTATATAAATATATATGTTTTTTAACAAATATATTTTTTTGTGTAGAATTTTTATACATTATACTGACATCGTAATAATATTAAAAATAAATTTATGTAGAAATAATATGTAGGTCAACAAATATTTCATTATAATTTTATCTATGTGGTTTTATTTTAAAAACATATATATATTTTTTAACAAATATATATTTTTTTTTACTGAGGATATCCGTAGATATCGTGTGACGTAGTAGGAAGTCTATCGAATATTCTAGAACAATTTTATAAGTTAATATGTATGATCGACGAGCATAATTAATTCACACTCGCCGGCTGAACTGAAAAGTTGTTGGTCGCATCGCTGGCACTCTCCCTGAAATTTGTCATGCAATAGCGAATTGACGCTAAATCATGACAGACGTAGGGGGGAAGGAGTGTTACATCAAACGACCAACGGACAAATTTGAGTTTTTTGTTGTAATAAGATCCGAACGAAAAATTGCTTAAGCACAATTTTCAATCCCAAAATTTAACAAAAAACGTAATAACGTAGAAACGCAAACGCTCAACGCCTAAGCGATCAACGCTCAACGCCTAAGTGATCAACGCCCAACGCCTAAGCGATCAACGCTCAACGCCTAAGCGATCATCGCTCAACGCCTAAGCGATCAACGCTCAACGCCCAAGCGATCAACGTCAACGTCCAACGTCTAACGCCCAACGTCAACCGTCAACGCTTTATGTCAACGTTGTTACGCTGATACTTAAAAATAATAATAACAAAATAACAATAAAATAATATAATAAAATAATATTTAAAGATGGTATATACATACACACAGCAATATATATAACATCGACAACGATTAACGCTCCGTGTTAAAGTTTAATATTATTACTATTATTACCATTATTATTATTTTTATTTAACAATATATGATGATACATACAATGACATTACATTAACGGAAGCGAAATAATGCGATAATGTTGTTGCAAAAATATTATTCTGAATCGACACCGGAGATATTTCCGGTACGATAACGTTAGATATTTAATGAGTGTGTGTGTGTGACTGAGTGGTATACAAAAAATATTGGTAAAATTTAAAATTAAAATTAAAGTAGGTCAATAAATAGTTATAGCATAATAATATATTAAGCGACACATGAACAAAATATATTCTAGTAACATGTAAATATTTCAAAATATTGTAATATTAAATAATCCAATTCATAAAATTCTTTTTTCAAACGGTGATCTAAAAGCTCCTGCATGGACGCCACATCTTTTATGTTAAATTTGGAAGTAATATAATTTTGTAAATTTTGGAGTTGGGTTAAGTTATTTTTATTTTTATTTTCCCCCCAAACAGTTATTGCATACTGTAAATGAGACTGAATTAAAGCGGAGTATACAGATTTCTGAAACTTGTTTCTATAGCGACATTAAAACAAGGAAAAGACTTATTAATTTTAGAAATGATTTTTTCGATTTGAGTATTCCAAATAAGTTCTCCATGAATTATAACTCCTTAATATTTATATTCCTCTACAATTTCGAGAGGAGAACAATTATAAATATTTGTAATATTATAAGTATTTTTACAAGAGTAATTGTGAATTGTTAATTTATTATTATTATGAACTTTTTCTGAAAAGTCTATGTATTTTGTTTTAGGGATATTTAAAGATAATTTGTTTTCTATAAGCCAATTCCGAATTTTAGAAAGATCGATATTCGCTTTTTTGTATAGATCTGTCGGATTATCCGCGTCTATTACTAAAGCTGTATCGTCTGCAAAAAGAACAACATTTCCGTTCAATTTTAAATCCGTTAAACTATTAATATAGATAATAAATAATAAAGGTCCAAGACAAGTTCCTTGAGGAACTCCACAAGTTATTATTTTTTTAATCGATTTTGTTTTGCCTATTTTTGTGCAACATGTTCGTTTTTCCAGATAAGATTTAAGTAATTTGTTTGCAACTCCCCTTATGCCTATATTTTCCAATTTTAATAACAATAAATTATGATCAACAGTATCAAAAGCTTTTTTTAGATCTAAGAAAACAACAAGCTTATATTTTTTATCTGTTTTAATATGTGAAATTAATTTAGTTATTGCGTCTTCAGTGCTTCTTCTTTCCCGAAAACCAAATTGTGAAGTAGACAGTAAATTATTTTTATTTAAGAAATTGGTTATTCTAGTATAGATGCATTTTTCAAAAATTTTTGCAATATTAGATATTAAAGAAATTGGTCTATAATTATTGGGATCTAATTTGCATCCAATATTTTTATATATAGAAACAATATCAGCATGCTTAAATTCACTCGGAAAATAATTTTTTTCTACAAATAAATTAAACATATACGATAAAGGTTTAGAGATTATGGAATGTTTAGATTTTAATAATTCTACACTAACTTTATCGGCACCTGGAGCTATATTATTTTTAAGAGAAAAATTTTTTAATATTATTTCATCTGGAGTAATTGGCTCGAAAAAAATAGAATTAACAGAATAATAACTTTTAGTTATCAATTTAGCTTCCACGGAAGGTATTTTAGAAGCAAGATTAAAACCTATATTAACATAGTGATTATTCAGTATATTACAATCAATGTCGAGAACAGCTTTCTTTTTATTATTTTTTAAATATTTGGATAGTAGTTCCCATTGTATTTTGGGATTTTTTTTGTTTATAACATTAATTTGCATTATATAGTAATTTTCACGTAGAATTTTTATATAATGTCTAATTTTTGATTTGTAAAACAATCCTAGAGTTTGTTTTTTTTTAATTAATTTATTACGTATTTTTATAGAAGCGATGATTCCCTTTGTAATCCAAGGATTACAAACTGTTTTCGACAAAGTTGTTTTAATAATATTAAGATTATTATTATTAAAATATTTAGATAAAAATATATTTACATACTTACCATAATCCACAAATGGATTTCCATCCGTGCTTACAGCAAGTCCGTTGGTCGTTTGATGTAACACTCCTTCCCCCCTACGTCTGTCATGATTTAGCGTCAATTCGCTATTGCATGACAAATTTCAGGGAGAGTGCCAGCGATGCGACCAACAACTTTTCAGTTCAGCCGGCGAGTGTGAATTAATTATGCTCGTCGATCATACATATTAACTTATAAAATTGTTCTAGAATATTCGATAGACTTCCTACTACGTCACACGATATCTACGGATATCCTCAGTAAAAAAATATATATATTTGTTAAAAAATAGGGTAAAGTAGGTAGTTATTGGCACTGGTGTAGTTATTGGCATAGTGAATTTGTTTTTCTGATAAATAAGTGTTTTCATCTTTTAAATTATTAATTTTTTTTTTATCAATTGGTTAAACTGATTAATTTTCGCTCCAAAAATTATCAACATTCTATGATTGCTGATTAATATTGAAAACACAAAGACAAAACTACGCCTTAGCTCGCCGTGGAAACAAGTAAGAAATTAATTATTTTCGTAATATATTTTGGTATGAATTTAAGCTTTTAATTTTTATTCCATTGTATAATAGTGTTAAATGTTAGTGATATTATTTAATGAATCTTAAGAATATTTAGAATGCAATCAACAAATTTGTTTAATCAATTTTAATTTTTAAATTTGTTTTAAAGAAGTTGACAATAACTAGTATGCTTTTTTCATGATTTTCAGTTATTGTCATGGCCTGCCAATAACTGAATCAACATTAAAAATACATAATTACATTATTGGCATTAAGATTTATCAGAATTGTCTATATAACCAAATTGAGATTTTAATTAGACTATAGGTAGATACCTAATTTATTACTATTTTAATCAAAAAATGCAGTTATTAATTTACAATGTAAACTGCTTTACAGAGATGCCAAAAAAATCAAATTCATTTTCTGATTTAAATCTGATAGAAGCCATAAAGGCAGTAGACAATGGAATTTCTAAAAAAGCTGCTGCCAAACAATTTGGAGTTGCTAGGTCAACTCTACAATTTAGAATAAAACATAGGGATAAAGAAACATTTTCATGTGGACCTTCAAGTGTTTTGAGTGTTGAAGAAGAGAAATCACTTGTTAAATGGCTTCTAGATTGTTCTAAAAAAGGATTTCCTAGGCGACGTGAGGATCTACAACAGAGTGTTAAATTGTTTTTGGATGACCAGGGAAGATCTAGTCCGTTTACTAATAATTTGCCTGGTAACTAATTATTAAGTATATTTTAATTAGTAGGTAATTATTATACCTATATTATAAGTAAAGTGTGGGATATTTCATGTCAAATAATTTGAACAAGTATAAATATTATGTAGGTACACTAAAAAAGTAAATTTGTTTCTATAAAAATAATTTTGTTTAATAAACAAATATAAAAATGGAAGGATTTATTAATTTAAGTAATTCAAATTTTATACTTACATGTATAAGCCTTTAATACTACCTAAGATTACTTATCTTCTTTATATTTTTATGTATCAATGAATATTATTTTTATAATTTTGAAAAATAAAGTATTTAGTATACCTATTGAATACCTAGGTACTGTATGTCATGTATTTGACACCACTAGCTTAAATTAATTTTTATAATTTATTTATTTTAGGAATTACTTGGTATAAAGCATTTTTAAAAAGAAATCCTATAATTTCACAAAGAACCAGTGAGCATGTGACTTCTGCTAGTGGAAATGTGAGCGAAGAAAATATAAAAAAATGGTTTAGTGACATTCATGCATATTTATCTGATGAAAAATTGGTAGATATTTTAAATGACCCAGAAAGAATTTTCAATGGTAACGAAACTGGTTTTTCACTCTGCCCTAAAACCAAATCTGTCTTAGGCCCAAGAGGGGCTAAAGATATTTATGAAATCGCTAAAGGGAATGAAAAAGAAAATATTACTGCCATGTTTACATTTAATGCAGCTGGTCAGATGTGTAATCCAATGATCATTTATAAATATCAAAGAATACCTCAAAATATAATTGACACAATACCACCTCATTGGGGAGTTGGGCGGTCAGATACAGGTTGGATGAAAGCAGAAGTTTTTTATGAATATATAGCAAATATTTTCTACCCGTTTCTTGTTGAAAAAAATATTCAATTTCCAGTTCTTCTTTTTGTTGATGGGCATAAAAGCCACTTAACATATCAATTAAGTACTTTATGTTCAGACTTAAAAATAATTTTAATTGCATTATACCCAAATGCAACCCGTATTTTACAACCTGCAGATGTATCTGCATTTAGGCCTTTGAAATCTGGATGGAAAAAAGGTTTATCAGAATGGCGAAATAAAAATCCACACAGTTCGGTGACAAAAAAAGATTTTGCACCGATACTTGATGCTGTATTAAAAACTACTGTTAAAAGTAGTACCCCAATAAACGGTTTCAAAGCATGTGGACTATTTCCTTGGAATCCAGATGAAATAGATTATAAAAAATGCTTGGGTAAAAATTATTGTTCTACTATAAATGAAACAACAACAACAATTAACATTGCCAATAATATCAAAAATTTAAATCTTAAAGAATTTTCTGATATTATTGGCATTGAAACGTTAGAAAAATTTAATAATATTGAGAACATTGTTGAAACAGAAAATCAATCTGAAGAATTTTTTATTTTATACAGAATTTATGAACAATTAAAAGGTAATCAACAGAACAGCGAAGTAGACCTTGAACTTGAAAAAGAAAAATCTAATGCAGATCAGTCAAACTCTGCTATTGTTACAACAAGTTCTTCTGAAGTGGAATTAGAAAAAGAAATTTTATGGATTCCAATTAACCGCCCGGACACCCTAATAAAAAACAATAAAAATCATATAATTCTAAAAAAGTTAGAAATATCACCAATTGAGTCATGTTTGATTTGGCCTGTGACTCCTGAAAGAAAAGGTACAAGAATAACAGAAAGGGTACCATATGTAATTACATCAGATAATTGGAAAAACTTATATGAAAATAAAGAAAAAAAGAAACGGTCTATTGAAGAAGAAAAAGAAATGAGAAAGAAAACTAGGGAAGAAAACAAAATATTGAAAGAAACAAAACCAAAAAAGACAAACAAAAGAAATATTGTAAAAAATTTATTTTCAGATTTAAGTAAAAATTATAAACCAGAAACAGTGACTAGTCAAACTATTAATTTAGAAACTTTACAATTTAAGGATTCATATAATATTATTATAGATGAACTACCAAGTTCACCAAACCCTTGTAGTAATATCTATAACAGTTGCATCATTAAAACAGGATGTTGTAAATTATGTAATACTGACATAGAACAATCAAACTTGGGTATTGAATGTAATTTTTGCTGTGATAAATTCCACCAAAAATGTGCCAACTATGATTCATTTTGTGATCTCAGTAGTGATGAAACACTTTTTATTTGCCAAAGTTGTGAAAAATCGGTAATTGTTAACTAAGTTTTATTTTAATGTTTTGATACTGATTAACTTGCATAAGATTTTTTTTATACCTATTTAGTTTGTTTTTATTATTCTTGAAAAAGTTATTTTCTTGATTTTTTTATATTAACTATTTTTAAAAAGATTTTCATGTTTTTTTTATTATTATATTATTCAAAGTTCTACCAAGAACCTACCTACCTATTTGGTACTTACATTTGTTTTATTTAGATATACCTTTGTTGTTTTTACAATTATAAATTTGTTAGATATGTTCCTATATAAAGAGATAATTAGTTTTATTTTATTGTTTTGATATTGATATTTATTTCATTATTTTATATTTTAATTAACTTACTCAAGATTTGTATACTTATTTTGTTATTTTTGATTATTCTTGAAAACATTATTTTCTTGTTTTCTTTATATAACCTAATTTTGAAAAGATTTTCATGTTTTTATTATTATTATACTATTTAAAGTTCTACCAAGAACCTAACTACCTATTTGGTGCTTAAATTTGTTTTATTAACTAGGTATACTTTTGTTGTTTTTATTTATAATAAAAATTATGTTAAATAATAATAGTGATTTATATTTTTTTAGTTGTTACAAAAATTGTTGCACACTTTGCATAGGACCTACTACTTAATCATTATAAATGTGAAATTATTTTCGTAAATTGTATTACCTGTGTATACACTAACACTAACTGGAATCGTTAAAAAAATAGTTGTAGACAGTTTAGTATTGTAATCACTATACAATATATACCTAATATGGAATAGGTAATAATTATGGCTTACTATAAAATACCTATTTGGTTTGTGATTCAATTTATAACAACCACTGCATAGGTAGTACCTAAGTATTATGAGGATGTGTGATATATTTTTAAGATAATTATACATTATTGTTCAAAGAACATAATTTAATGGTAAGTACAATAATTTATCAATACCTATATACCTGTAGATATTTTTTCTTAACAAAAAAATAGTAAATAACTAAGTTTCTAATAGTCTCTAAAGAATTAAAACATAATTTGTCATATAATTTTAGTGGGTGCCAATAACTAATGATGATAGTGCCAATAACCTCAACAATGGTGCCAATAACTAAATGTTTTGATATTTTTGTGAAGAACTATAAATATAAAAAAACCTATTACTTCTAAACCAATTTTGATAATAAACTTAGAAAGATAAAAACATTTTAAATAAAGTCAAAGAGAATTCAGTAATTTTAACCATGGTTAAACACAAGATATAGGTTAGGTAAAGAGCGACATTTCCTTAAGGTGCCAATAACTGCCTACTTTACCCTATATATATGTTTTTAAAATAAAACCACATAGATAAAATTATAATGAAATATTTGTTGACCTACATATTATTTCACACTTACTACTCCAGATAATGCGTTATAATTATGTTTATAGGATCTTTTGACCACTCACCATCTGCAACGACAGTTATCAAGGGTATACCGTCGCTATTAACATCACCATTTTCTATAGCTAGTCGAGCTTCTTCCTTACCAGCCGCTACAATTGATTCCCTTGCTATCATTTTTGTTTTATTTGCTACAAATGCATGCACTTTTTGGTATTTTGTATTAGACATACAAGACATATTTAAAATAGTAGAAAATGAGAAATATGAGAGTAGAGGCAGCTGTTAATTCACAATCATATTTACGTACAATTCATAAATCTATAACCAATGCAAGTCCAGGTAATTTAAAAACAAAATAACTATCTACCTAAATATTTATTTTTTAAATTATTTTTATACATTTCTTAACTTATGTACCTTACCCTATTATTATACACGCATATATATATATAAACAGGAACATTTGGAAAACGGTTTTTATCTGACGCTAAAAGGATAAGAGTAGTATGTGTTTGGGGAGTTTGGCTCCATTTTTACAGGGAGATGAAAAAAAATCAAGTGAACAAATTCCCCTTACAGTGCTTCCAATCTCCCTGTAATTTCAAAACAAAAATTTAAATGTTTAACCAGTTACATTATTAATTGCCAGACATGATGTTAAATAATACATAATTAATACATTATTACATTATTGTATTCTTTCAATCTGATCTGTAACCGGTTAATTTATGGTCGTTGAGGATTGAAAGTCTAAGCATTAAAGTAACGATATCGACTTTTTGAGTGCCAAACTGTAACCGGTTAATTTATGGTCTTTTGGTTCCTCAAACGTCGGTAGAGGTATACCACTGAAAAGTGGGTATACGACAAGTTTATTTGGTGCGAAATAATTCGTATCCAGTCTATTCAGATTCTACAACATTTTTATCGAGATTAAAATCATATAATTCTTTTCCATCCACTTCGTGTCAAAATAAATATACATTATCTGAATCTGGTTTCAGATATACAGGAGTAGGAGATATAGTTGAATGTTTTTTCTGTGGACTTGTTTTACAAAAATGGACAAATGATGACATACCGTGGGTTGAACATGCAAAATGGAATCCTAAATGTATATTTGTTTTACTATGTAAGGGAAATGAATTTATAGAAAATGTAAAAAACGAATATGTAAAAGCAGGTCATGTTTGCGATTGTAATGAGTCTAAATCATATGACACCACTTGTTAGTTTACTTACATTAATTATATTTAAAAATTTTGTGCACGCATTACGAAATAAATATTGAATTTATAGACTTAAATGTGTTTGTATTTGATTTTATACCCTGTGAACTTGTTG